GCTTCTTGCCACTAGGCCACCAGAGCTCCTCTGGACTATAGCTTTCAGTATGGATTACATCTCAATACAAAAAAAGCCCCCCAAAACCAATTATCCTCACCCTAGACCAGTAGGCAGCATTATGGCACTCAGAGAAAGAATTGCAGTTGTCAGTGACTTCATCTTACTTGGACCAACAGTCAACACCCTTGGTACCAGCAGTCAGGAGATCAGGAGATGTATTACTTTGGGAAAGTCCACTGTCAAAGACCTCTCCAAAATACTAAAAAGCAGTGGTGTCACTTTGAAGAGTAAGGTTCACCTGATTTAGGCCATGGTCTTTCCAGTCATTTCCTATGCGTCTGAGAGCCAGACAGTGAATAAGGATGACAGAAGAATTATTGATGCCTTTGAGCTATAGTGTTGGAAAAGAGTACTGAACATCTCATTGACTGCCAAAAGAACAAACAGATCAGTCTTGGAAAAAGAATAGCATACTCCTGGGAGACAAGAGTGGCAAAACTTTATCTCGCATACTTTCAGCATGTTTCTAGGACAGCCTGCCCTTTGACAGGGATATCATGCTTGGAAAAGTTGGAGGGTCAACAAAAGAGGAAGACTGAGATGGATTGACACAGTGACAGTGACTGCAGCAGCAAGTTCAAGGATGTCAGAGATGATGAGGATGACACGGAGTAGGACTGAGTTTTCATGTTGTTCACAGGGTCACGATAAGTCATACTCATCTTGACAGCACCTTACTGTCATGCAGCAGCTGGTGAAATCAAATCACCTAACTTTACATTGGCCGCTCAGTTCCTTACCACTAAGTCACCAGAGCTCGTTGGTAGATGTCATTAAGTTGATTATGACTCATAACGACACTTGGAACAACAGATCTGAACCGTACTCTACCCTACGCCATTTTCCTGATCTCTGTCATGCTCAAGCCCGTTGTTGCAGGCACTGCCAATCCATCATGATATTCAGGATCTTTCTTTCATAACCCTCTAACTTGTAGTGTGATGTCTCTCTCCAAAACTTGGTGCCACCTGGCAACATGCCCAAAATAAGTGAGATGAAATATCCCCTTCCTTGACTCTATGGAGCTTTCTAGTTGCACTTCCTTTAAGACAAATGTCTTTTGTTCTTTTGACAGTCCATGGTATATTCAGTACTCTTCACCATCACCACAGTTCAAAGGCATTCAATTATTCTTCTGTCATTCTTATTTATTGTCCAACTTTCAGTTGCATAAGAAACAATTAAAAATACCATTGCGTGGATCAGTTACACCTTAGTCTTTAAGCTGAAATCTTTGCTCTTTAGAACTTTGGAGATGTCTTTACAGCAGATTTCTCAATGCAGAATGTTCCCCAATGCAGTATTTATATCATAGCCTCTTAAGTGTGTAGGAAGCTCTGATGGCCTAGTGTTAAGAAGCTGCAGCTATCCTAAAGGCTTGTGGGTTGAATCCACCAGCTTCTTTGTAGGAGAAGGGTGGACAGTATTCTTCCATGTAATTTATTGCCTCTGAAAACCTGCTGGAGGGTCAGCTATGGGTTGGTTTCTGACTTGAGAGTACACAACAGCAATATTAATTAGATAAAAATTAATTATTTTAAAAAAGTTTGGAGTATTATAAGGATTACTAAAACATAAAATAGATACTGAAGTGAGCACATGTTGGAAACATGGTTCTAATAAACTTGCTGATACAGAGTGGCTTTAAGCCTTCAATTTGTAAAGAAAAAAATATATATCTGCAAAATGGACAAGAACCAGTTTGACTTATTCCTTAGCTTCTGTTTTTCATGTCCATTATGGTACAGAGATCATTTTAGTGTTGTTTTCCACAGTTACTTTGTGACTCTTAACCACTCTTAATGGAGAGAAGTTTTTCATGTCCCATCAATTCCAGTTTTCCTATTGAGGGTTTTCATAACCAAAGACCCAAAGTGGACTAACTACTCCCATAATATTTTCTGATGTTTTAATCTTCATTAATTATTTTACACTTTGGAAAAGCATTTGAACTGGTGTAGTAGGGAGAAGTAGGTCACGTTGTGTATGTTTTAGTAGTTCATATTTTAAAAAACCCCCACCCCTTTCTATTGTGATTTGAATAAAAGTGTACAGAGTAGATTGGCCTCCCAGTCATTTGTATACATTTGGTTTTATGACATTTAAGTACAGTTCCCTACATTGTGTCATAACTCTTCCCACTGTTTTTCTGTTGTTGTCTTCATTCTTCCCTCCATCTTCTCCCTTTGTACCTTCAGAGTTTTATTCTTGAACAGATGCTGCCTTTTTGATCCTGCCTTTTTCATGCACACGTAATGATTTTTTTCTTTCTTTTAGGAACATGCATTGGCTCAAGCAGAACTTCTTAAACGCCAGGAAGAACTAGAAAGAAAAGCAGCAGAATTAGATCGTCGAGAAAGAGAAATGCAAAACCTCAGTCAACATGGTAGTATGCAAAAAAATCTTGAAATACTATCAATATTGTCTGCGCTTGTGCTGGGTCATTTGGTTGATAGCTAACACTTTGCCCTGTTTTTCTATTCTAGCAAAGAGATCAGATGCAGCAGATTGTCTACTTGATACCCTGTAGCTTTGTTATCTAGGCTGATTTGTATAGTCTTTTAAAGGATTTAGAACAGTGTTATCCTCAGCCCACGGAAAGTGAATGCAAATATGGTAATTCTACTTTATTCTAGAGCCAAGAGGCTTTGATTTTGCACCTGATCTGTCTTTGGATCTGTTGCAGCATTCTGGGTACATTGGAGTGTGCCCTACATTTGACTCTTAAATTCTGGGTTGTTCAGATCAGTTTCCAGTTATCTCCTTTTTGTACCTAAAAGTACGTAATAGTTACCAAATCATAAGATGACTCTAAAAACCCCTGGGTATTTAGATGGTTGCCAAAGAAATAACTGGGTGCTAAATTGGTTATTTGGTATGAAATTTATTCAGGCCGTGACTTCCAAAGGTTATTTCAAGGGAGTGTGTTAGGGAAGGCTAGACTTCTCTGGATAAGAATGGGAAAGAATTGTTAGCAAATCATTGTTGGCTGTCTGGCATAGTGTTACAATAATAAGACTAGGATGGCAGTAGCGCACAGAATTTTTTCTTTCCTGTTGTTAAGTGCCATTGAGTTGTAGATGACTCATAGCGACCCTATGGACGAAAGACTTGAACACTTGTGTAACTTTCATTGTTTCTCTTAAGTTCATAAAGTTTCTGGAGGCAAGCTTTTTTGGAAGTGGATGCCACTCCTGCTTCCAAGCCTGTTTTAATTTGAGAGCTCCACCAACACTGTCCACCATAGATAACCATTATCACATTTGACACATGAGCGTCACAGTGTTTAGCATCATAGCAACCAGAAAATGTGGAAATCTAGAGTCTCAGATTTATCATAGGCTATTTTTTTATTTGTATCACCAGAGACGGTGTCTCTTAGAAGAAGTCAGTGGTTTAAATATTTTAATAAGGGTTTTTTAAAAAACTTGTAGCTAAAATCTGCCTACTTGCCTTAGCAGTGATTCATACAAGTTATTATAATGCTTTAGTGAAGGTGGTTAATAGAGAGAGTTAGATTTTTGTTATGTTAATATATTTCAGTGCTTTTCATTTATTAACTTGTTTACTCCTTAGTACAATCCTGTGAAAGGTGGTAGAATTATTCGCATTTTACGGTTGAAAGTTTTAAAGCTCCAAGAGGTTAATTTGTCCACAGTTAACACCTATCTGTGGTCTTTCTCTGTGCTCGGTGCCTGTTTTTCTGGAGCCTTTTGTCCTTCACCACTTTTTTCTCATGTAGTATGAGACTAAAAAGAAAAATATATAAAGTGAAAATTGTGTAATAGGTATAACAGAGGTGCTGTGGTAGAAGAAATAAATGATGCTTTTTTTCCTATGAAAATATATTTCTGTTGTATAAAAAGGATATAAAATTGTCCTTTATGTCCTGCTTTTCCTTCAGTTTTTATATTTTGTTTTCTTGCTTTAATTTTTTATTTTTCTTACTACTTACTTAGCAAGCTCTTATTTTCATCTAATTTCTTCATGAATAGATTTTCTCTTCATAGTGTAAGTTTTTTTTTCCTGTGAGTTTTTTTATGGTCCTTTAATCCCTTAGGTGGTATCGCACTGGTCTGTGCGTTACTGTACAGAGGTAACTTATGGTTGCTGTGATGCTGAACACTGTGACACTGATGTGCCAATCGTGGTAATGGGTACCCATTGTGGACATTGTTGGCTGGAGCTTCCTGACTAAAACAAGCCTGGAAGCAGGAGCGGCATCCACTTCCGAAATGGCTTGCCTCTGGAAACTCTATGAATGAACAGTGCTCAGGCCTTTCTTTCACAGAGTAGCTATGAGTCGTCTACGACTCGACGGCACCTGACAATAACAACAACACCAACAATCCCTCAGCTACTTTTTTCCAGGATGTTTCATGTTTCCTAACAGTTATATGGTTCTTTTATGTGTGTCTTTTGGATATTTTGGCTTTTCCCAAGTTTTGAGATTTCCAAATTTGATTATTTGGTAATTGTTTACTTTTGTCTTTCTTCATGGAGTTAGAAACTAAAATGTGAAGAATTCAGAAGTTAGTCATCTCTTTCCACTTAAGTAAGAAGAGATTGAAAATACTGATGAAATGATGGAGTTTCAACACTGGGAATCTTTACATGACAATCAAGCCCTTAGGAATGTGATACAGATCTGTTTTTCAGCCTTAAGTAAAAAAGGGTATTTCTGTATTGCACCTATCTTTGAATGCAATGAAACAGTGAAGAAGAAATAGTAGTTTGAAAATACGGGTTTGTTGGTAGAAATGAGGCTGGAAATTGAATGATTGAATTTTGTATTTT